TTTTTTTGGGGGGGGGGGGGGGGGTTTTAATGATACATCTTAGGGATGTTCAGATACCAAGTACAGTACTCAGTACATGTACAGATACGTTTCCATCTCCAAGACTAGACTAGAGAAACATGCAAAAGTTAGGAGGCGGCTGTCATTTCTAAGGAGCATATGGGATTTGTGAATCCCTGTATTTATGTATGATTTTTTTAAATAAATATATGTAAGTGATGCGCCTATACCATTTTTTCAAGTACTGATACTTGTCCAAGTACTCACAGATAAAAGTACTGATACATTTTTGTTTAATGTCATGTGACCGTTTTTCTAAAACAATATCGACTAATGATTACAGGACAGTAGTGGAGTGCCAGAACCAGGTCCCAGCTGCAACCGCTGCAACCCTGGTAGTTCTCATGAAAATGCCAAGTATCGGCACTGGTATCTGAACATCCCTAATACATTTAATGATGTGTTAATCCAGGGGCACAACACTCCAGCTGTTGTGGAACTACAAGTCCCATGAGGCATTGCAAAGTTGACCGCCACTGGCATGACCCCCAGAGGCAGAGGCATAATGGGATTTGTTGCTTCAGCATAGCTGGAGCGCCGAGCTTGCCTTCCTCTGTATTAATGAATGAATACAGTGCTGCATTCATTTGTGTCTTTTATATCTGCCTAGAGTTCAGCTTTAAATTTGTCAAATCATCTCATTTTAAAATAAGCCTATCACAAACCTGGGCAATTTAAACTGAGCATATTACAAACATTAAAAAAAGCAACAACAAAACGTTTTTTAGGGCCCATTCACACTTGTGCATCATGGCAATGTACATTAACTGCCAACACACCTGCTCTAAGGGCAGTGCCAGTCATTGCGAATGGCACCCCAATCCATTGTACAGCAGAGCACAATGCTTCCTGGCGCTTTGCGTTTTGAAAAATGGTAATGCGCATTTTTCATCCGTTGTGCTTTGGCAGCCTATTCATAATGAACAGGCTGCCTGAACGTAACATGTGTTAACTTATGCTAAAACATGTTACCACGTTTGCAACGAATCGCTCCACTGTGATTGGGCCCTCACAGGAAAGTGAAGATTTCCATAGAACTTCAGCTGCCTATGTCTCTGGATCTGCTAATAGTTTTGACATGCAATTTTCACTGCAGGTAGACTCTGCTACTCATTTTTTCACCATATGCTATAAAGTCCCAGATTTGCCACAGGTTTATATTACTGAAGAATGATTGTGATCTACTCTTTGCCCTTCACAAAATATTCTAATAATGCTGAAACCTTTTTAATAAAATCCTCCTTTCTCTGTCTTTAGATTGCTGAAAAACTAAAGCAGGCACTAGGCAGTTTCCCTGTCATGTAAGAAATCCAATGCCTGGATCTAAAGGATAATCGGAAGTGCCTTCCTATGAATTTTAGTGGACATTGTGAAGTCGCCCCTTGGACACTGCACCCCGGAGGAGAAACTTGGAACTGCACTTCTGCAAATGTGCTTGCATCAAGTTAGATTTGAGATCTTTCCCAGAAAGGCTGCTTTTCCAGTGCACTTAAAATATCACAGCTTATGAAATGCATGTTCATTTTCAGATAAAAGCAAAACGTCATCTACAGCATCCAGCATCACCTCCTTTTTACTTCGGCCTTTTCACTGCAAGGAGCAAAGGTGCTATAGTCCCTTCTGCGGAATGCCTTGGATTCCCTGCGGCTCCTCTCTTGCCTATAACCAACACCGCTATCTGATTGGACGCACATTATATCTTTCAACGTAATCTTTGAACTGATCCTTCATGGCATTATGTTCTATCCACTAACACTAAGTGCGATTGATGAAGAGAAATTTCTTAAGGCACTGTGTCTATTCACTGCAATATACACACCGCCATATTCTTATTACCCGGCCTTGTTACAACTGCATTTTTTTTTTCTTATGTTAAATTTAATTAAACTTTGTTGTGCAACTCAGGAAAAAATGTATCATAAGGTTAGGTTTCCTTTTATTAATAAACAAGAGAAACTGACAGGCCCGTTATTTAAGGTGAAGATATTTCTAAATATTTTTATATCTCCTTTTAAAGTGACACTCTCAGTGTCCGGGGCTCGGGGCCCGGGGGACACAAAATGACTAAAAGTAGCGTGCAAAAAATGGTGTCTGGGATGAAAACACAGGAAGTAGGTGTCTGTGCGTTACCGGGGACGCACTAGAGGCACAGATTCTAAGAAGGGCCAGGTGTTCGACTGAGCCTCTAATGGTGAGGATGATTGGCTGCTGGACATCTTCCAGGTTGCAGCACTCTAGCATGCCCACACAGACACAGAAGCTAGTTGCAGCACCAAGGTGCTGGATGGGATGCAATAGCAGGCAGGGGTGAAGACTATACACAGACAGTGGTTCTTGATACTGAGAGACACAAGGGTAGAAGTCCAAATAGTGTGAGAGCAGGCAGCAACAACACGGCAATCCAGGATACACTGAAGAGCGAGGCTGCATGGAACAGGCAGCCACACAGGTAAGCACAGGTGCAAGGGCTCACTGAAGAAGATGATGATCAATCCACTTGCTGGATGTGCAGGATCTCACTGGTAGCAAGAGTGAATCCAGAGACACACAGGGAACAAGGTAGGTAATAGCAAACCGCAAGGATTTCAAAGGCAAGCCATAAACAGGGAGTCCGACTGAGTGTAAAGACACGGCGCGGAACAAGTGAGCTGGACTTTTAATGGAGAGGTTCAGAGTGGATTGGCAGGAAGCCGAGCAGCTCGGACTGGAGGTACAACTCGGCGCCGGATCATCGCACAGGGAAGTGTGACATTTAGGAGAGAAGTACAGGGGTTGCACCACTGGCCTCTTTTTGAAAATGCTGGTTGCCGTAGGCGCCTTTTACATGGGCTGATCGGAGCGGTACAGATCGGATGTCATCGCTGTGATATCTGTGTCTGTCCAGTTTTTTCTTCCATCTTGCGATGGAGGAAAAAACTGCAATGACCGAACCCCATGTCTGTCTGCGGGAAATCGGATGTAAACGGACATGTGTCAGTTTACATGAGAATACCCCCAATCCGGCACGAACAGGTCCAGCAAAACAGATCTCTGATCTGTTTGTTTTTCTGGACCTGACCGGAGTCGGGGGAACCGGGTGTAAACAGACGGGCATCTGTTTACACATGGCTGCTTACAGACTAGCATTGGGCATCTGATCTGGTCCGCCTAAAAAACTGGCAGGCGGACCCGATCATTCCACCCGTGTGAAGGGGGCCTTACTGTGTCTAACTTCAGTTCTTTTGCGTAACGGACCTGGAAGATTCATGCCCTAAATGAGTGTCAGAATTCCTTATATCTATGCCTGTTCCAGGTCTGAAACTCAGGCAGTATTGAAGCTGTGGTATCATAATAGCCAGGGAACATGCATTCTCAAAAGAATTGAGCAGTGGTAGCCACCAATATTCTCTATTGAGTCCTTTTAAAGAACAGCAAGTGTAAAACAAATTACCATTCACAAATGTTTATATAAAAGTTTCTGTGCCTGTACAGAACAAGTTGTATTTGTTTTTACATTTAATAGAAGACGGCATGTAGCCTGTTCTACTATATTAGCCAGTTGTTTTTGTGGGCTTTTTTACCCTCAATACATTGTCTGGGGTGTTTGTCTGCTTTCTTCCTTCAGTGGACTTTTAAAGTGTATATACAAACATTTTTCAGTTTTGGATATAGTAGGGATGAATTAAAACCCCTGTCAGCTTATTTTTTGCTCTGTCCCAGGAGACTTAACAGGAAGTAAAATGAAGTTTTGATAAAGCAAGGATAACTTAATTGTCACTGGAAACAGGTGTCCTTGTGGGAAGATGCACCTTCACCCTTTTTGTTGGTTTTTCATCACTTTCTGCCCCGGAGTTGATAATCAGCAGGACAAATGGAGAAGACAAATCCCCAGCAGGGACACAAACAGCTTTTAACACTTTATAGAAAACCCATTCTGAAAAAATACAAAGGCTGCATTTGCTGACCTTTTAATGGTAGTGGTCATGCTGATCCAATTACTTTAATACTTCACTGACCTAAAACTAATTTTCCTGGTGCCTACATGACATCACACTACCAATGGAATTTTACTAGAATGGGTAAGAAGGCTGGTGTCCTCTCTTTGAGCCCTACCTGATCTTGTTCTTGATTAAGAAAATCCAGGAGAACTTTATTGTAACATGGAAGGTCAGATGACTTTCACTCATCAAGCATCTACAGGTTCAAAGCTAGGCATCACAGAAGATCTTGCAAACGCT